ATGAGAGCATGAAACCCGTCGGTGCGTGTTTCGGCAAACATGCCCGATGCACTACAATGCCGCGGCAGCCGCAACAGCATCCTGAAGACGTTGTTATACTGTACGCGCAGGACGTTGTAGGCCCGTTCTGTATATGACACCCACAGGCCGCTCGAATAGAAGGACTGACAGAACGCTTTAAATAAAGTCACTTTAACGTCTGCCGTGCAGCGAGCAAACCTACGGGCGAGCATATTGCCCCTCACCGCCAACGCCCTGCGCTCCCGCTCTATGTCGCTGTCATCGCGAAGGTCACTGGTGACAATATGGCCTAAATACCTGACCTTCTCAACAACTTTTAGCACTACGCCATTGAGATATACCGGAGCTACACGGCGTGACTGTTGTTTTTGCGTTTTGAATATTAAAATCTCGCTCTTTTTAGAGTTGTATTTAAGGCCGTGCATCTCCGCATACGTCTCGCAGATCGATAGTAGCTCTCTCAGTCCACCTATCGAAGGACTGAGTAGCACCATGTCGTCCGCGTAACTTAAATTATTGACACATGTGCCGTCTATGTGACAGCCTACATGTATGCTGCTCAGTCGCTCGATAAGCTGGTTCATATATAAATTAAACAATAGAGGTGAGCTTAACCCCCCCTGCCTCACACCACACTCCATTCTGTACTCATCCGAGAGAGTACCGACCCATCTCACCCGGTTTGTCTGGTGAGCATACCAGTATTTGAGGAGCGCTGTGTACTCGGTTGGAACACTCGTATCTCCCAACTTGTCCCACAGTACATCATAGGCAACAAGATCGAAAGCTTTTGACAAGTCGAGAAAACACGCGTAGACCGGCGTCCTCCGCGATGTATAGTACTTGACTGTGTGTTTTAGGCTAAGTATGGCACTCTCCGTGGACAGGCCGCCCCTGAACCCGAACTGGGCATCGTGTACTTCAACGTGATCTGAAAGGCAGCCGTTCAACACACCGTCAAGCACCTTAGCCGCGGTGGTAGCAAGCGAGATGGGTCGATAGTTATTTACATCGGACGTGTAACCCGTTTTGGTTTTAACAACAGGTATCACTGTGGTCCGCATAAGCGGTTCGGGTAAATAAGAGTGACCGAGGCATAGGGTAAAAAACAGAGAGAGTACTTTAGGCAGGTGCATCCCTGCATGCTTAAAATGTTCTATGCTGAGGCCATCGTGACCCGGCGATTTTCCATGTTGCATTCCGGAAACAATTTTAGCGACTGTCTTAGTTGGTACTTTAGTAATCCGCCCGGTCACACTAGCACCAGCATATTCCTTATCATACGACCCCGAGTTCAAAGGCGACCGCACAGAGAAGTGTGTCCTAAAGGCATCAGCAATATGCTTGTGATCAGTCATACCACCGACGCTCACGGGGAGACTCGGCCTCACATTCATATTGTTTGTTTTTTTCCAAAACTGCTTAAAATCCTTAGTGGTATGGATTGAGGCAAGAAGATCCATTTTGAGCTGATCTTGTCTGTTCTGACACCATTTAAGCTTGGCCTTAAAAACTCGCCTTGCCTCCGCCATTTTACAAAATAAAGGGCCAGTGGCCGGACGACCTGCCATTGTCCAAACTCGGAACTGAAGCCGTGCCTCGCGGTGAGCATCCGCGACATGCTTATTCCACCCAGTCACGTAACCACCTTTTTTCCGACACTTGGCTTTACATGTTTGTACGGCGGCACGGCTTAGGGTGTCTACAATCTCCAGATACATTTCATCAAGAACTGAGCGATGTTCCCTATTATCACAAAACCTGTCACAACAAGCACTCAGTACCCCAGGAATATCCATCTGTCCAAGTCTAGAGTGACAGAGATCACGGTACTCGCTTATTTGCTCTGAGGATCGCTCACCCCAGATAACACGATTTACACATCTTTCATTTGGTTTATTTACACATTTTGGCTTGAGCTTACGTAGGTCACATTCTACCACAATCGGAAAATGGTCGGACCAATACATGTCATATTGTACCTTTACATTAACGATTGATTGTAGTGCAGACTCAGTGACAATGCAGTGGTCCAACCATCTGCTACAGCCATGCGACTCACTCATAAAGGTGTATGTACTACTGTCACACATGTTTATATCTACACAAGTCTATCTTTGATCCACACAGAAATTCATCATTTCATTATAAAACAACTCACTCGGGTGTGCATTATAGTCTCCTAAGATATAGAAAGCCTCAACTCCCTTGTTTTCCTCTATTTCTATTATTGAACAAATAGTACTTAGACAAGATGTAAATTCCGCGAGATTGTCAACGGAGTTTGTTGGCATATAAACACTAAAAATCACTATTACTTACGGTTATTTTTATGGCACACACTCTCACGTTATCACACTGTACTGGTAACACTGATTCAAACGTATCCTTACGCCACAGTTATGCGACGCCACCGTATGGCCTCCCGCTCAGGAGGCCTGCCGCTGTATCCACAGCAGATGTCGCAGTAAACCCGAAGTTGTTATCAACCGTGCTGAGTATCGCCAAATCATGTGGTAACAACCATGTTTCTTGGAGGGCAACCACATCCGCCGACTGACATAGAGCTCTGACTCCTTCCATTGACCTCTTGAGTGACTTGCAGTTAAAACTCACTATTTTACTGAGACTGTCCATTGTTGTTAGGTATTTTTTTCATCTCCATCCTTTTTTTGCCTCATATGACAGTTCTAATTTAATTATAAGGTCTGTGACGAGAATGTCAGTTCAGACATAAGTCTTTTGAAATTAAAAGTCGATGATGAAATCTAACGAGAATTTCAGCTGTTTTTTATTTTGACATTTGACTGTTGTCATTGTCATGTGGGTTATAATATTAAGTGTTATTTTTTTTAAGATTAAAATACCGTGCATGTAATGTGAATACTTCGCTAGTTACAGTGGCTTTACTAGGACATTTGATTTTAAAAATGCATGTCTAACAAGAGAGGGTGACATAATGTAAAACGCATTGTGGAGTTAACTGCCCACTCCCGGCATGAAAATAAATTATCGGAAACCAACACCGATGGATAATCACTTCCTAGAAGCCGTTCTTCTAGTCTTACAATTAGAACACTGATTTTTACGGGTGGTTGGATCCACACTCGTCGTACCTTCAGAAGTAACTGGAGCAAGCTTCATTAAGTCAGCTCTTGAGCTTACCTTATGCCGCTCTCCATCCGCCCCATGTAAAAATATGGTACCTCCTCTGGTCCAACACTTAGCAACACCAAACATCTCTCGGGCAGCCAGGAACAAGTCATGACGAGGTTTAGTGAGAAATTCCGATAGAGTGATACCTGATCCCTTAAGTTTGGTTTTCGAAAACCACACCTTGTCTCGGATAGATGCATGTTGCAGCTTGATGAGTATTGGACGGTGCCTATGGTTAGCTGTAGGTCTACCGAGGCGATGACAACGCTTTATGTCACTCACTGTGAATTCTTCGACTTTAAGCTGAGTTTGGACGATCATGGATTAGAAGAATCTTTCTTCGCCCTTGCATCTCTAATTGGTCTATGATGGCTATCAATGACTCAACTTGTTGCTGCAGACTCTTAAGGACATCAAGCACAAAGCTCCGGAACGTAGAGAAGTCACCAGCTAATCCAACAATACTTGTCATGGGGCTTGTGTTATTATGGAGATCAGCTTCAAACTTACTCATTCTGCTATGGAACATGTTGCTCAAGTTTTCCATGGTACTCAGAAGCGCTTCCATTTTCAGTTGTTTATAGTGAACACAAAAGGTAGCACTAAGTTGATAGGAATACTGTACACTGGCAGGTAGTGTCTTGTTATTAAATGTTATTGCATAAAATCAATAAACTAGTTACAAATAATATTATTTTAAATAATATTATCGGGAGTTAAATTTAAAGATTGTGTCACTCACAACTACCCGAAAATAAAGCAGTGACAGTATCCGTTAGTGTACTTATTTAATATGAAATACCCTACAAGTCGTTTTATGAAATTTAGAACAGCATTAGAAGAATACAACTTTGAGGTAGAATATATTAAAGGATCTGATAATGCAGCTGCAGATGCACTGTCAAGGATCACTATAGAAGATTTAAAAGAAATACACAAGAATGTAGTAAATGTAATGACACGAGCGCAAACGAAAAAACAGAATAACCCTGATTCTACGGTGGATATAGCAGACACCGACTCAAGGCCTAATCAACCGAGAGTCGTAAACACTCATATTAAACCTAAAGAATCAGTCGAGTTAAGATTTATTAACACAGAACAGTTAGCAGAAGAAAGATTACGATTAAAAATAAAATATTTTGTTATGTTGACAGTGACAATACGCTATACGTTAAGTTTGCAATTTACTAAACTTAGACTAAATATACATATTAAAAATTAAAGATAATGATATTTTTATTAAGAAATTATTAGCAGAGATAAAAGATAAAAACAGATTAGGACCACGTGTATGTATTTTAAATGATGTTATGAGAATCGACAATAAAGATGACAGGCGAATAATTTTAAATGACTTTCACCTCTTACCTAGTAGTGGCCATGCTGGTATGAGACGGATGTCAAATAACATTAAAAAATACTATTACTGGCCTGGCATCGATAGCGATGTTCAGAAATTTGTAAGATGTTGCGATCAGTGTCAACGACAGAAGTATTCATTACCTCAGAAAGAACCAATGGTTATAACTAGCACAGCAAATACTGCATTTGAAAATATATATTTAGATCTTGTCGGTCCCTTGGAAACTGATAGCGATAATTATACATATATATTAACTTTACAATGCGAACTAACAAAATACGTAGAAGCATATCCCTTAATTTCGAAAAAATCCGAGGAAGTGTATCTGTAGTGTATCCAGAAAATCTGATTAGTAGATCGGTAAAATATTGTATTATGTATATTTATTGCTGGCAAAGAATTTAATCTATATAACAAAGATGTCTACATTGTTGGGAGTGGAAAGGCTGTTCAAAATATGGCAAAAAAAATTGAAATGGTTTTAAGTTCCAAAAAACAGGTTATCATTAGTATTCCTGTTAGCAGTTCTAATTACAAATCTGAACTTAAAATATTTTATTATGAAGGGGCTAAAAACAACTTTCCAGATGCTAATGCTAAAAATACAGCAAAAGCAATAAGAGATCTTCTTATTGGATTGGGAAGGGATGATTTACTTTTAGTGCTATTATCAGGTAGGTACCCATAACATTAGAAGAAAAAACTGCTCTGGTAAAAATTCTAGCAAACTCTGGTGCTCTCATTAAGGAACTCAATACTGTCCGAAAACAGCTGTCTAATTTAAAAGGAGGTCAGCTAGCAATAAAAGCGAAACCTACACAGGTTATCTCTTTAATACTCTCTGATATTGTTGGAGACCCTTCAGATTTAATAGCAAGTGGTCCCACTGCAGAAAATGAAGATGACCCATCTAAAGCTATTAATGTTATTAAAAAATATAAATTATATGATCAACTTCCGAAATCAATTAAAAGTGTATTAAATGAAGTTGAAATAAATGAGTACAAATTTCCAAGAGAAATTGACATAAATTATATGATAGGATCAAACAGAATTTGTATAAAAGCAGCTTTAGCAGAGGCAAGGAACCTAAATTACTGGGCATTAGGTCTTTCTATTGCAATTTAATATGTTAAACTTACTAAACCGTTTTTCAAATTCAAATTCAAATCGTTTAATTCAGACATAGTCCATAGGGTTAGTACAAACAAAGAAACTTAAGAACTAAAGTTAGTAAACACAATAATTATTTTGGTGACCGGTGTGGATCTTTGCCCAGTGGCGCAACAGAGGGGAGTCCCACCGATCCGTAAACACCTTCAGGACACTGTTAGTAGCGGTGCGCAACCGGCCGGCCATGGATGCGGTCCTCTTTCTTAAGATTGCGTAAAAGTCGTCTGTGTGCGCCTCCGCAAACATACCGGACGCACTACAACGCCACAACAGCCCCAACAGCATCCTGAACGCGTTATTATATTGGACGCGCAGGTCGCTGTATGTCCTCTGCGTAAAACTGGTCCAAAGACTGCACGTGTAAAAGGACTGGCAGAATGCTTTAAAAAGTGTAACCTTTACTTGATTTGTACAGCGTGAAAATCTTCGAACCAGCATGTTACATCGAACAGCCAGCGACCTGCGTTCCCTCTCTATATCTAAATTATCCTTAAGATCATCAGTGACCCAATGACCCAAGTACTTAAATTTAGTCACCCACGTTAAAGGGGTGCCACATATCGTGACACCAGGGACATTTGAATATGTTATGGCCCGCGCTTTAAACATAATAAGTTCGCTCTTCTTGACATTGTACCTAAGCCCATGGGCCGCTGCATAGGACTCACAGATCGCCACAAGTTTCCTCAAAGCGCTGATCGATGGGCTCAGCAGCACCATGTCATCGGCATAGCTAATGTTATTAATACAGACGCCATCAATATGACACCCAACTCTCGTGCTGCTGAGGTCACTTATAAGCCGGTTAATGTAAAAGTTAAAGAGACGGGGCGAACTCAACCCCCCCTGTCTCACCCCGCACTCCAACCCATACACATCTGATTGAGCAGCTGCCCATCTCACACTATTTGTCTGATTATAGTACCAGTAACGAAACAAGGACGTAATTTCATTCGGTAGTGTCGTATCCCTCCGCACTCTATCCCATAGCACCTCGTAGGACACCAGGTCGAACGCCCTTGACAGGTCCAAAAAACAGGCAAAAACAGGTGTCTTTCTGGAGGTATAATATTGAACGGTTTGCTTGAGGCACAGAATGGCACTCTCAGTAGATAGACCAGGTTTGAAGCCAAACTGCGCGTCATGGAGTTCAATATGTTTAGCCAACTGTTGATCAAGCAAACTGTCCAAGACCTTGGCGATTATCGTGGCCAACGAAATAGGCCTATAATTGGACACGTCAGAGGCATCCCCCGTCCTGTCCTTAATGACTGGTACTACCGCAGAGCGCATGAGGCCCTCCGGCAGATAACGGTGGCTGAGACATAAATTAAAAAGCAACGCAAGAACCCTACACAGATATGTCCCAGCGTGCTTTAGGTGCTCGACGCTGAGGCCATCGTGGCCTGGTGACTTACCTCTTGCCATATTTTTAATAACAGTGGCAACCTGTTTAGCTGAAAACATTACGGCAAGTTCACCAGAACCCGCCAGTTCCCCTTCCTCGAACACCCGCCGCCCAGATTGTAACAAAGACTGGACTTTAAATTGTCTTTGGAAAAGGTTGGCGATCTCTTTCGGCTCGCTCTGACCCGCCACACTCACAGGGAGACTCGGCTTGACATTTAGTTTATTGGTTGATTTCCAAAACTTAGCAAACTCTTTTTTTGAATGACTATTAGCCAATATATCTAACTTAATTTGTTCTTGATTATTTTGAACAAATTTTAATTTAGTCTTAAATGTTCTCCGTGTTTCACGCATTTTCTCATATATAGGTTGTTTACTTCTAGAAGAAAAGTCAAATATTAAAGACTTGACACAAAACTTAGAAACTTTCTGTATACCAAGAATTGACGTTAGTATACTAAAAAATATCAAGTCTATTGAAAAAAAGGATTTATGCTTGATCCTTGGAGGTGAAATCACAGTTGAAGTAAAGGGTGCAGGGAAAGGTGGCACAAATCAAGAGCTAGCTTTAAAATTTTCAAACTTTGTTGGCCAAGCAAACAATAATTTCGCAAAGTTTGACATTCACTTTTTAAGTGCAGGTACTGATGGCACAGATGGGCCACCAGATTTAGAGGGCTATAGGATATCAAAATCTTGTGACAGAGGCGAAACAAAGACAAAGAAGAAAAGTCCGACATAATCACCGGTGGGTGGTATCCGAGGGGATTTCCGCACAGGAAAAAAAAGAGGCGATAAAAGAAAATTTAAATACTGAAAAGTATTTAAACGAAAATGATTACAACTTTTACAAGAAATTTAAAAATGGAAGTTTTCATGTTATTACTGGACACACAAATACTAATGTTATGGATATTCACATAATCATTATAAAAAAAGAAAAATAAAATACATGATCTGATGATTTTGTAATTTTATTTTATTTTATTTATTTATTTAGGACAACTTACAAAACATTCACTAATACATAGTTTATAAACATGTTTTACAAATATGTGCTGAGTGTTGTCTTATTTTGTAACCGCTGAACGTGTCAGGCGGTCTACTCACCGGCTTACCCAGCGGAGAAATACACGAGATTACCTCAGGGCGCCTTGTCGACAACAGAAGGGTATGGATATGTGTGCGTGTGGGCAACCTAAGGGACTCTTCAGAGAAACACAACTTACACCTCAGTCATACATACATGTATATTTCATTCCAAATACAGAGTTAAAATTGAATAAATATAAATAGTGGGTATATAAAAAAAGATCCCGCAGCGGCGCGCGTCAAGGCCGAGCTGATGTTGCTAGGAACCTCTTCGTCAGCAATCCTGCAGGTTATTTCCACACCAGCCCGAGTCGGCTATTTATATTAGGTATATAGGTAGGTTAGGTATTTATATTAGTTACAGTAACAAAAATTACGTAACCCTTGAATGGGCTGACCGCTTGCTTGTGAGCCGCGTGACTACCAGTAATCAGATGACACTTAGGAGCTCATTTACGCACAAGAAGGCCACAAACAAAAGAGCACGCCGTCTGAGAAGTATCTCTTGACCCGAAATCTGGAGCCCTACGAATGGATTAACACTCATATAATCGTTCAGATTGCAAAAACAAATGACTACAAGAAAAATAAGATTAACTTACCACTGAAGTGGGTACTTAGGACACAGAATTTACTAAAAATGAATAAACAGACAATCAAAATGCTACTTCAGATCGGAAGACTAGAATCACCAGAGTGTCCCTTGCGGTTGGAAGCCGGACTTATATATACTCGGTTTGTGAAATTTCTAGAAAGAATCCCTTCTTTATTTAGTCATGAATGGGAGCCCAATCGAATTCAAATTATCATTGAGGTTCACATCACATCAACAGCCTATACTAGTCCACTGCTGGACATAGGCCTCTCCTTAGAAAGGAGGTTTTGGCCTCCTTAGAAAGGATCATTGAGGTTACCACGACTCAATTCAACAGTAACCCGCTTCCTACCATAACAGGACACTTATAACACCAATACAATTTGACAGGATAAATTATTACTACGACTTACCAAAAAAACCACGCCATCTAGTGGTCCGATGGCGGACGAAGAGACATCAATACTATAGTTACAATCTACTTCGGATAAATCAATAAATGCGACGCGGGGCGACAGGTGTCACTGTTGACAACTCCGTACGCAATACAAATACAATGGATAAATAACTGTTACAATTTACAAGTTGCCACGGACAGTTACATCTAAGATTATACAAAGCAATATCTATAATAATATACAAAACATAGAGAACATCATCGAAATTAATTAGAGACAGTGATCGTTTTAAGTGGTCTAAGAAGGTCTAAATGACGCAATAACTTTGCTTCTAAATTTTGGAACACTGTTTGAAAGTCTAATCTTTGAAATCTTTATTTTACTTAGGCATCTAATGATTTAAAAAAAATATTAATTTATTTTGTTCAGTTTTCTTTTCTTTAACTTTAACTGAAGCTGGCACAGCTTTTTGGCGCAATGCTGCAAATTTATCTTTTTCTTTTTTTTGGTTTCTGCACTCACAAAAGTGATTTCTTTTTAATTTTATGGATGAATCAGAAATAAGTAATATATATACTTACACAATGAAACATTAACAAAGTCAAATAGTAAAGATCGTTTTAAAGTTATTAGAGTGTGCCTACAAAGAAAACATTTTCAAAAAAATGTATACAGTATGCCCATTAAAATGTATACTTTCAGCTTGATTATCGAGGCTGAAAGTATACATTTTGCTGTAGTAGTATAGGCAACGTCTATCAAGAGATCTCAGGTTCGATTCCGGACCAAATATTTTTATAAATATTTGTTTCAAAGTTTGGGTGTTTTCAATGTACAATACGAATTTTTCATAAACGCATCAAGCAAAGACACACCGAACTACGGAGTAACTGCTAATCCTGTTTAGCGAAATGAACAATTCTCTATTGGCGAGCAACATTTATCCGTATCAACATCATCCGTTGTGCCACGGCCTTCTAAGCATAGTCACCTCGCCTGTTTGAAGGATCCTCTCTTTGTGTTGGAGAGATATGTCACCCGTTTCTCAATATCTAGGCCCCCATATCTATGTATGATCGAAGAACTTTATTTAAAGAAAACATCTTTAAAATATTAATTCTTAGTAGGATTTGGTAAGATGCATAAGACTTAGAACTCAGACTTGGTTCGTTATCAAATTATGGTAAAGAATTGCTTACCCTAACATGAGTTGCCATCTTAGCATAATTTAAAGTGTGTATGAAAAGCGTACTAACTTGCATTTTACCATGGCGCTCTCGTGTATGGGCGACCAGTGGCGTAGTTAGGCGATGCCGAAGCAAACCCTATATCAAACCGTCTGGCCAGCGTGGTATAGTAGGCCAAAACCTCCTTTCTACGGAGAGGCCTATGTCCAGCAGTGGACTGTTGAAGGCTGTTGATGATGATGATGATGAAATGGGCCGTCGTCAACGGCCTCGCACTTAAGGGGTCGAGAAGCCTCTTTTAAATGCGATGCTTCGACTCAGACTTTACCACAGGTGACTAATTAATTTAATCACATTTACGCTCTAAGTTCTACCTAATATCTTAAATGTGACTGTCTTGTAACTACCTTTAAAGACCGTGACCGTTAAATTGACAGAATACGAGGCGGATCGTTTTTTTTATTGACAGGGTGGAAAATCTCGCTGGATCCCCAGCGCCTTGAAGACGTAGGAGTTAGTAGTATGTAGTGTTTCCTCTAAAAACCCACTCGACGTCTGTACCCAGGCTTTCAACTCTGGGAGGAACTTTAGGTCTCTACCGGATCAACTCTGCACCTAGCTAGGTCCTATCTGGTAGAAGCCGCAGGCTCCCCCGCCTTTTTGGTTCAATCACTACTTATGTATTGTGGCCCCACCGTGTTATGATACGCTTGCCGGCAGGACGAATCTCATCCGGTTCGATCTACCAGGACCACCAGTTCAAACACCCACGCCACGGGGCATTTCTCTTGCGTATGCTAGTCGGAGTCCCAGTCGGCTGCGCTGGTATTGTAACGTCTACTTACGTCCGATCGAATTCAGGTAATCACCGAAGCAACCGTACCCGAGGAGTACTTTTTTTTTTTTTTTACGTGTGGAAATCCCCTCGGACCGTCACCCCGCATTGGTTCTTTATTCGGCGGGGCGGTGTGTCGGACTCGAACCGACTAAAACTACACGGTGTGCCCTCTTTGCGCTTCTATTTTAGGGGGGGTCCAGGTAGTTATCTCCTTCTGGACCCCTCCCAGCGCCGGCCTGCTCCTGGTGCGGGCTCCGTCTCCAGTTATCCTCTCTTTAGGCGACGTCCGGCACACGCGGACGCCGCCCCCTCGCGGCTGGCAAAACTAATGCGGGTGGAGGGGAAAACCCATCCCGTCCACCCGCGGCCACACTCAGGGCGGCATGAGGCGCAGGTGAGCGCGCCTCCGCCGCCCGGTTCGCCGGCGGCGGATCGGGTCCGAGTGGAGGTCGTCCTCCCGGGCCTTCTCCGCCGCCTCCTTCTGCGAGATTACTTCCTCGCAGAAGGTTGCGACCGCGGTAAAACAACTGTCGCTACCGGCCACAGAGCGTACTACGGCCGGTAGCGAGAGATCCACTCCGATGACTGCAGTGAGGGCCCGGCGCTGCGTCGCCCATGCTGGGCAGACCGCCAGCGTGTGCTGGGCCGAGTCCTCACTGCAGTCGCAGTGGTGGCAGGCGGAAGGTAAGGGTCCCGTGCTGCCGCCCTGCCCACTCGGCGATGACCGGCTGGAGAGCCTCCAAGCCGGCGAAGCCAGCGCGTGGAGTCTCCAGCCGGAACGACCATCTGACCATGGTGGCTCGGCGAGCGGTTTCGAGCCACTCGCGCACGTCTTCGGGCGGAGGGCGAAATCCGCTCTCCGCCCGGTAGTCAGCCACTCGCCGATAGACTTCGGCGAGCACTTCCGCCTCCAAATCCCACGGGGGTGTTCCGGCCAAGGCGCAAGCCGCCTCGGTGGACACCGTGCGGTATCCGCGTATGGCTCTGACCGCCAATATCCTTTGGGGGCGCCAGAGGCGCGCCCTATTCGGGGCGGTCAGAGCCGTCACCCACACCGGTGCACCATACAGCCTCATGGACCGGACAACCCCCGCGTACAGCCGCCTCGTGGGAACACTGGCCCCGCCCAAATTGGGCAAAAGTCGCCCTAGGGCGGAGGCAGTGTCCACCAACTTTGGACCAAGCTGTCGGAAGTGCTCGTCGAAGAGCCACCTACCATCAAGGACCAGACCCAGGTACCTCATCTGGGCCCGGAGCGGTACGAGGACCGAGCTAAAGGCCCATGGAATAGTAGGGCCTCCGTCTTATCCAGGGCCACCCGTAAACCCAACGCCTCAATGCGCCCGACCACCAGGGAAACTTTCGTGGCGGCCATGCGCGCCGCTTCCTTTAAGTTAGCCCCCCGGGCCGTAACTAAAGTGTCATCCGCGTAGCAGATTACACCCAGTCCGGGGGGGAGACGCCCTCGAAGGGCGCAGTCGTATCCAATGTTCCACAAGAGTGGTCCTAGGACAGACCCCTGCGGAACACCGCACGACATGGCCCTGCGTCCCGAGGAGTACCTTTTTTTTTTACGTGTGGAAATCCCCTCGGACCGTCACCCCGCCGGGGTCTTCTGTTCGGTGGGGCGGT